ATATTAAATTCTTACCCTAAACTATTCATCATTCCTATATGACTTCGAAAATTTCTTACGAGTGTGTTCAGAGTAAGTTATAATTCCTTTTATGCTTTTTCATCATTTCTTTCCTCGGCAAGCAAATAAATTCTATATGTTACTTCCAGTTTCAATTATTTTATTTTATTTGACGCTCTACAATCCTTTATTCAGCCAGATTTTTCAGCTATATCTTTATTGTTTTCTATCATGAAACCTCAAGAGCAACTAACGTTTTGAATTCATATCATAAAAATAGATAAATGTTGGAATTTAATTGCTGACAAACATAAAGATAAAGGTGTTTTTAAATTTACGATTACAACAAAGAGCCTAATAGCTATTGTGTGTGTAAGAATAAAGTAGAATGAAAAAGAACTCCTTGTTTTCAAATACATATATAACGTTTCATGTTTTCCAAACCTGTATGAAAAGTTTTCATGTCGTAATTACGAAAAAAGCCTATACTGAGAAAAGTTCTTGCACGTTTTTTATCCTGTAGTGTGCTCAGTTTTTATTAATCTTGGACGTTGGGAAGCTAGTTGTGCGAACCGTAAATGTGTACCACTCGATCGATCGCGCGGCTATGTTTTGATCCTTCTGATAGTGAGAATAGATGTATACTAATATGATTAATATAATTATTTCGTTTCTGTTTTCGAATGAATGTCTTGTTCTTCTTTTCCTCCCCTACTGATCGAAAGGAAATCATCAATAAGTAGCCTTTTTCTTTCCTCTGTGCATTTCTATGCAAACAATGAACGCAAATCAAAATGCAATCTTTCTATCTGTCATTAAAAACGTGGCTGCCTATTGAATGTTTTTTCCTTTCATTTACACATGTATATCGAAAAAAAAAATTCTAATGAAAAATGACTCCTTTTTGATCGTTTGAGTTCTTTGAACGAAAAATAAAATAGAAAGAACTGTCAACTTGATAGATAAAAGTATGAAAAAAAATGAAAACGTTCATTGATGTTTCCAATTTGTTGCTAATTTTCTACTAAATATGTAAGAATACTGTTTTCGTAGATATTATAAGATGTTCGAATGCCTAAATAAAAATATTCTAAATGCAAAAACGAATGAAATTCTTCTGGTGAAAAACTGATAACCACTTCTGTTTCTGTATTGGCAAAAAATTCGTACATAGGTAAGAAGGGGTGTGGATGTAACAGAATAGAGGATGCAAAGCCACATCCATCCACATACCCACGCCCATACCCATTATAAGAGTATACTTGAGAAAAAAATTTAAAAAACCGAGAAATATTCGAATGTATGTACCTATTCATTGCTTATCTATGATGAGGAAATAAACTTTCTCTTCATCAACAATCACACGCCATACCCACCGATTCACTCATAACCACACCCAGCTAGTGTACTTGTTAGTATGGCTCATTAATTTATTCAATCATAGTTAGAATTTTTTTTGCAAAAAAGTGTCTTATTCATCATGATTAAAAAATAAAGGAATGATAATGAATGAGTGTCAAAAAAGGTTGTATTAGAGAGAAAAGTAATGGATATTTTGTGCACTATACTTCTTGAGCAGCAGAGTTCTCCAAATGCTTGAGCTGGTGTTCAATTAGTTGCTTGATACTTCGAACTTGTTCCTCCATGCTCTCGGTATGTTCTGGTGCAGCATTATCTTGGATTTTTTGAGTGAGAAAATACTTATCTATATAATGTCCAACTTTCTTGAATGTATTCATCCCATCCTGACTTTCATCCTTCTGCAAAACTAAATATGGTTCAGCAATAAACCACGGAATTCCATTCGTGATACATGTACAAGGAAATAAAGTACTAAAGAAAAGATTAAAATGAATCCGCATTATTTCATAATCTGAAAGTGTATTGTAGAGTAATCCTGCCCGCCACAATGAACCTTGTGTCATCAAGGATGGAATTTCACCAACAGCCAAACCTATTAGGAAAAAAATGATTTTAAATAATCTTTTGAATGAAATATAATTGCTTATCAATGTTTGTTTGATGTCTAATTTTTAGATATCTCTTAAATCTTAAACATTTTTTCGATTAGTTCGACTATTGATCAAGAAAAAGAATCTCCATTTCTTAAAGCATATATAAATATGATTTCTGTAAAGATCAAAGAGCCCGAAATACATCATTTAATCAATCGTCATCTTCTACACTCATCATTTGTTCCTATTGAAATGAATTATTATTAAGATCTATCTTACCAATTAATAAATTGATAACGAAGATAGAGAAAGCGATTGCTGTAAGCATGAATACAACATAAACTAATTTATAATATCCAACACCACCTTCATCTGGTTTGTACAAACGATCTTCATATCCTAAATCGAAAAGCATCAAACTAGTACGTAACAATGCTTCAATAGGTGTCCCATAAACAGCTTGATTCTGTAATAACATCCAATATGTGAAACCAAAGCCACAAATTGCAATAAGTAAAACAGGAAGAAAACGAATGAATTTACTTGTAATCAGTTGTAACATAACGATATAAACTCCCCAATTGAACATTATAGCTGCTCGCATGTATACCAGCAAATTAATGTATGCAATAAGAATACTCATCGCACCTAACTGATATTGAATTGGACAGCGGAATTGAATTTCAGATTGCCAAGAGTACCAATCGAAAACATAGACAAAGGTAAGAACGAGTGACGATATCTCAATATAAGAGGCACCAGTACGAAACACTCTTGGAAATAGAGCCCATATAACGATGACGTTCTTCACGATGAAACTTATCATTATTATATAGAGTACTATTTTAATTCTTTTGTAGATATTCGTTTTAAAGGCTTCATCATTTCGATTGAAATTATTCAGAAAATAATTACTCACACTTTCACATGTGTCTAAATCGACCGTCATAGTCGTGTTGGCTCTGTCATAGAAATGTTGAGGATGTTTTCCCATAAGTATTACTGTGGTTAACAAACCAAGATAAGTGATATAGATAAGAAGTGAGATGATGAACAATTTACGGCCAAATGAATTGCTTTTGGCTCGACCCAGGAATCTGTTATAATCATGTTGAATGAGTTCTGGACACATCTTCTGTGAGCTCGCAATAAATAATGGATGATTACGAACAACTGTGTAAGCATCATTTGTGTAGTATTTTCCAAGTATACGTGACCTTTCCGGCCAACATACAAACCACGCCTTAGGAAAAATATTTCCAAGATAAAACCAAGAAGCAAAGAGGGCGCCAATGCCACGAGTATGCCACAATTGTTTCCACTTTACTGGCTCTTTCGGCAGTTCGATACCTAAATGACAAAATTTCAAATCAAATAATATTGTTTCATCTAATGATTCAAGTTTTTGCTCCAATAGTTTCTGTCAGTGTATAGTTTTATTAAATTTGTATGTCACTACCATGATATAGAGAATTCATAAGAAGATTGACTATTTAACATGGAATATTTCTTAATATGTTCGTTTCGAAAAAGCAAGAAATGTATAAAATAGTTCCACATTCAGAAAGTTTCCATGAGAGTCCTCACGTATAGAATTGTTTATATTGTGTGGAAAAAGTTTATGGCTGCCTTATGTTTGCTACAGGGATCTTCGGAACAAGAATCTAGTTAAAGATTGATCCCTTTTTTTCTGTTCAGCTGATTCTAGAACATGGTTGCCAATTCATTGTCTAATAAGCATGAATTTTTACTCCTAAAAAGCGAAAAAAAGTTGACGAAAATGGGAAATCTGTTTTATACTATTTTTGCATATAAAGGGTGGGTCAGAAGCGCTAACTCGATTTGTATAATAAATTTTTCTAAAGTGAAACACGTGGTCGTAAATTTGTCTCTATGATGACAAGATGCATCAAGTACTGTTCGAACAGAGCAATTCAAAAGAGTAGAAAAAAAGATTAAGCTCCCCTCAAAAAAGTTACTTTTCATCAGAATCGTCGAAATTGTTGAGATAGATCCATGGAAAACAGCCCGCCATCTGCTCTTTCATAAACAACAAAAATTTTTATTCGGCACCTCTTTTTTTCCAAAAACTTTGGAAGGTTTTCGTGACCCCTATTCGAAAAACAAGCCGTTTTTACAAAAAATCAAAAGCCATTTTTCGTTTTTCTCAGAACGTTGGCTGGGTGTGGGCATGGATTTGGATGTGATCCTATTGAATGGATAGCCACCCACATCCACATCCATGCCCTAGCTGTCATTTAGAAAATTTCATAACATAACAGCGAGGAAAAAGGATTTCCATTGATTCTCCCAAGAAACTATCAACGAAAGTAAATATACCGAGAGTACGAATATCTGAAAATGAGGATGTCGAAAGAAAACATTCTTTTAACTCCTCGCCCTCACTTTGCCGCATTCAGTTTCGATTTTTTGTAATACTAGCACATTTATATTGCTGATGTGCAAGTGACATGACCACCTATGAAAATGAGAATAAGTCAGACAGATCTGTTAAGGATGTTGGTCTGGGTGTACATTCTTTTCATCCATACCCGTACTATAGGAAGATTGCAGTAAAAGTCGATATCTCAGTCAAATCTAAATTTGGGCTAAAGTTCTCTTTAGGATTTTTCTAGTCTACTCACCCCCTACCTTTAGGTAAAATATGAGTACAAAACGCTTTTTAGCACCTGAATAGGTTCCTTTATGAGAGGATTACATAGATTGGTGAAAACAATATGACAGCAATTCAGAATCTTAGGAATAAAAACTCATGGACAAATACCTTAGTTGCATTATTCTCGTCTCATGGTGTTCTACTCGCTTGTCAGATAGTAGATCAAGAACGATTGAACACTTTGAATGATTTCCTCATAAGAGTTTTTTTATACCTTCCGATAAAAAGTCTCTCTTCATCTTCGAATATAATCAAAGGATGATATAGATGTAATAGCTACCTTGAGTATACCAATCCTTGACGACACACATATCTTCATAGAATTCATAGTCGTAGACAGTTTTGTGTATTTTTTGCCCCGGTCCACCAATTGCATGTGTAAGTTTATTTTCAATAAGCCAAATAGCCATATCGGGTAAATATCGAATAAGTTTTCGCATGGGAGTATCATAAGCTTCTGTGTCTTCAATAGGTTGAGCATTTCGCATCATTTCCCGCCATGTCGGTTGTTCAAGAAGCTTCTTAACGATCTCTGTTTGCTGCTTAGTAATGGCTATGTCTAAACAATTGTAACATCTAGCAGTTCTAAATGTAGTTGACGCGCCATTTTCGAGAAGAAATTCAACTATGTCAAGACGCCCATTCTCACAGGCCACATGCAATGGTGTAAGCCGACGATCGGCAATCGTATCGACTTTGAGTCCGAGCTTTATCAGATACTTGACGATCTCGATGTGTCCTTCAAGAAAGAAAAACACACTTTTTCATACAAAGATTTTACAAACGAAGAAAAGCGCAACAAGAGTTTCTTTCAATACCTGAAGCAGCTGAGCTTTGAGCCACTTAGAATTTTGAGGACATGCTTAGCTTCTCAGTTTCTAATAAATTCAAAATAAGCGGAAATTTGAGTAAATAAGATCCTAAACTAAACTATATTATCTAATGTCAACAGAACATTTTTTTCTTGAATCGTTCTTCGAAAGTTTTCATCTAACTTTTTCGTTGTATCACTTCAACAAATTACATCACTGCAGTCTTTCATAACATCTATTATTTTACAGTGCTAAGCACTGTTCATTTTCAACTAATGATAGAGTTAATATATTAAGTGATTGAATTTGAAACTTTTCTCCTATGAAAATTATGTAATATATAATTTTCATAGAATGTGAAATCATTTTAAGAAATTGTCTCATACACGATATGATTAAAGCAAGAAGAAAAGGTTCGCTTATCTAACTTTAGTTTTATTGATTCAGATTAGAAACATAAAAAATATATCTTATGGCATCGAAAAACTAATTTATTTTGATATCCTTGGAATATTCATGATGACTACTTTGAGATTTTCAAACAAAAGTTTTATAAATGACAGTTGATAAAAACGTGTTTAAGATTATTCCTTTATTGTTGCAGCGACTTCCCAAAGTAAATCAGCATTGCCTTGATTCGCTGTCTGTTATATCATTCGAGAATATGGTTTGCAATAATCAAAGACAACTGACAACTTGAGGACTTTAACATCAACATCGTGGCATCGATTGCACGAAGGACGTTTTTAGATTTCGAAAGATTTTCTCATTGAGATGAAATTTAAATTTCAAATAGAGTTCACACCACGCAAATCTAATTGATTCAGTATTGGTTGTTTCAAATAGCAGGTCCAACCGAGTCAAATAAAGATGTATCTCTTTTGTTCGCTCTTTGGATCTCAAAGCCACCGAGAAAAAAAAATAAAAGAAATAATTAGACATAGAAGGTGAAGTATATTGAAAAACAGTTTGATAACTGCGAACAAAATACAAATCATCTATTATCCTACAGCAAGAAGCAAGACGAAATGCTAATTATCATCTTCCT